CAGCTAATCTACTTCCCCGCTGTCTGCGATTCTGCGGCTGCCAGGACAGGGACTTGCTGGCTCAGGTTTTTGGCATCCTCATGTACAGGCTGGCTGGGTGAGGTGTGGGCTTGGCTGGATGGGCACTGGCTGACCGTCTTGCTGGAAGACTGGGATGGGTAGCGCTTCCTGCCATCTCCCCCTGACGTGGTTGGGTGTCTCTTGTGTCCACCTTCCTCTCCCATGGGTGGCTGGAACAGAAACACCCCAGTATCAGCACAGCCTCCTCAAAATGCATATCCTCTCTCCCTAGATCAGGGAAACAGCCTTGCTGGCTACCTCTGAGCCTGCCTCTCCGACCTACAGGGTCACGCACACTGACCTCCTCCCCATGCACGCAATACTGAGTGCAGCTGCTCTCCTCTCCAAATCTACCACTAGCAGATTTCTTTATAGAAAGAGAGAGACGCTTCCAGTAAGAGCAAGTTGTCACCCTTGTGCTTTAGGCACCACCTTCCTCCACACAGGAGCACGATCCAGAAGTCTGGGAGCCAGAGCTCTGCACAGTGCTGGCTCCACTCAAGCCTTTAAGGCTCTCTCCTCTTCTGCCGCCTCAGCTGACCAGGAGATGACGCACACATGCTTTTCCTCGGAGACCTGTTCTGCAGTAGATTTGCAATATGCAAACCCTTGCAGCAACTGCTCTGGCTTTAGAGACACCAAACTCGTGTCTGCTCATGCTAGGCTGTAAGGATGCTGCGTGCGCTTTCTGTCTGGTGGAGCTCCTCTGCTCCTGAGCAGCACTTAACCCACTGGCAGCAATGTCAGTGCGATTCTGCCATATCCCACCTTGCTTGCAGCCTAGCCACAGTACAGGGAAAGGCCTGAGCTCCCTGGGGGATGGAATAACAAAGCACTGTTTAAATAAATAAATATAAATAAAATTCAAGAGCCACAGTCAAAACAGAGTGAACATCGCTCTCTCAATGAGGGAGCAGTTGAAGAACAACAGACTTAGAGGTGCTGAAGTTGCTTGTCTCTGGCCCAGCTGCAATGATGGGGCATGACACTAGGTGTCACTGACTTCCCTGCCTAGCCTCACTCAGGGACTAGGGCCCCCAAACTCTCAGCCCTCAGCGGGGCAGAGGAGCGTCTGAGGGGGGTGATCAGCGCAGTGCAGGCACTGCTCCTACTCACGTCCACTCGGAAGTCCTCGAGGCGCTTGAACTTGCTGAGGTATTCTTGCAATTTGCTGTTGATGTCCAGGTTTTTGGCTTTGGAATACTTTAAGAAGGCCCAGAACTTTTCCAGCCCGTAAAGCTGTCCTGGAACGCGGGGAAGAAAATTGAAGCAAAAGTCAGAATTGCTCCCCCAAGGCTTCCCCGCTGCTAGTCCCGCAGATTGGCAACCCCAGGGACCCACCAGCTGGCACAACCGAGGCACTACAGAGAACCTGGAAGAGAGCAACCTACATCAGTACTGGGCAGCCCTCTTGATAGGGGATGTCCCCAGGCTCTGTGCCTAGCCTGACAGTGACAAATAGGTGACAGGCTGTGGCACTGCAGAGCCTTGAGAAAACCCAGAAGTCACTAGAGAAGTCACTAGAGAAGTGTTTTGGGAGAGCTACAGTCTTCCATCATCTCCTTTCACACACCCCCAAACAGGCTCCAGGCCAGCAAACATCCACTTTATTCTCCCCCGCAAAGCTAGTGGCTCTGCTCTGTGCAGGAGCATCTCTCACCACCAGTGGACGAGGACAGCAAGTCTCAAGGGTCTCAGCCTGTGCACATGGCATCGGATGGGCTCCACGCCCAGCTTCTTGCCCTGTGCAAAACCCCCCTCAGCCTGGTCACACTGGCACAGGAGAAAAAGCTAGCGCAGGACTGCTAGAGGAGATGCCTACCAGCTTCATAATCCTTGATGGTCTCTTCTTGAAAATCTTTAAATATGTCTGGCCGGAATTTCTTCTCCAGGCCATAGCTGTAGTATCTGAAAAGGCACTCCAGACCGTACCTGCGAACAGAACAGCATGCTGTACTCACTGTGGTACAAGTAACACCTGGGCAGACACGCTCTTGGAGCAGAGTGCCCTGTTGCATGACCCAAAAAGAGGAGGTAACTGAGGGCAGCCCCAGTCCTGCCTTCAAGCAAGGCAGAGAGACACTGCCTTCGCTTTGCTGTGAGCCCTTTAAAGACCAGATCCTTCTTCCCTCGCTCCCCTCCCAGGAGTAGCCACCCTGCCCCTCACTCTCCTACCTGTATCCCTCCTTCCCGTCCTCCACAGCCAGTTGCTTGAACTCCTCGTACATTTTCTTGTTGAAGTGATCTCGGAGGAAGAAGGACCAGAACCGGAAAAGTGTGTTCATCTCCTGGGACTGTCCAATGCCCAGTCGTTTCCGCTCTGTTCGGGGAAGAGGGACTGATTACAAGACAGATCTTGTCCCAAGAGCCAGCTCTGCATAGAGGCTCACATATAGGAGGCGCTTGTGGCACTGCGACTAGATCCAGACCCTGTTGTTGGACACCCTGAGCCACAGCTCATTCTCTCCATGGACTGTACGGAAACATCAGCTACCACCAAGGTTGTCCTACAGCACGCTGTTTATCTCCCAGTGAGTGCTCTGCTACCTACCATACCCTGCCCATCCGGCACAGCCACAAGATGGGTACCTCGTCCCAAATCCAGTGACGCGGGTGTCCCTCCCCACATGCCTACCGTTAAGGCAGCGCCGACGGTACTTGTGGTAGACGTGTTGCGTGAAGCCGTTCTCCTTGAGCAGCTCGTGTGAAGGATGCTGAAACTTGGGTAGGGATTGCGGGGTACAGCCATAGCTTCCGACAGCCGGGGTTCCCTCTGAGGGGCTGGAGCTGAGCACAAGAGACTCCAGTCAACCCCCTTCCTTGGCATCACCCAGCCAATAGCAGCACGAGGTTGCACTCCACCCCGTGACACTTATCTGTTGGTCCCACCAGCTCCCTTGGACTCTCTCCCTATTCTGGGGACTTGAGCCATGGGGTATCCCACTAAGGGGGGAACCAATGTTCCAACTGAAGTTTGAAACTTGGAATAACGAGATAAAACTCTGTCCTTTTTCAAGGAGGAAAAAGAAAGGCCCCAGCCCTTTCTGTGGCCATCTAACAGGAGTCCTCATCTGCAAAAGGAAGAGCCGCCAGACCAGACAGCACCGACCTGTCCCTCTCCCGTGCCCACTCCTTCCCCTGTTTCTGCTTTCTCTGTCACCCCACACTCCTTTCTCCAGTACCTGATAGAGGCAGTACGAGGCCTGTGTTCCCGAGAGTCCATCACCCAGCCCACGTGGCACTCCATTGGGGGGTTTGAACTGTGCCTCGTCTTCCTCTTCCGTGGAGTCTGCAAGACACAGTGCGTCAGGAATGCATCCTTTTCCTCTCCGGGCCCCAGCTGGGGATCCATAGCCTCCCTCCCGCATCCCCGGCCCAGGTCCCCCACCTTGGCATCTATTGTCCTGCCTTCTTTCACCACTGGGTAAAACCGGGGTGTCTGTGTTGGGTCTTTCAGCTGAGGTGTACGAGGGGTCCGGGGGGTCCTGGCATTGCGGTAGTTGGGTGATTCTGGTACAGTCGTAGGCAAAGACCGGGCAATTGTTGAAGGCTCAGGGACTCCAAACAACTTGTTAGCCAAAGCGTCTGTAGGTACTGCAGAGAGAAAACCCCCATCCTGGGTCAAAATGAACTCTGAGCCTGAGAGTACCGCTAGTGTCAAGGGACTACCGTCCAGGAGATGGGAAGCAGCAGGAGCAGGAACTCATGGATGTGTCTCAGCCTTCCTGAGATCAGCAGCTTGAAATCTAGCCTGTGACAAGTCTGTCCAGACAGCCCAAGGCCTTGAAGCAGGTCCAAGGCTGAGTTTTCAGGGATCCTACAAGCTATTTGCTTCCTAGGGGCTAACAGCAATGGCAAATCCCTGCATCCCAAGGTTCCAAGAGGGAAGTCACATCCTCACTGTTACATGAGAGACTGATAAAATTTCCTCCATCAGCTGGGACATCCCTGCTTTTGGGCCTCTTCTCTCGGAGCCCAAAAACATTCAGCTGAGAACTGCGCTGCTCGGGAAAGGCGACGCAACATGGCTGTGGTCCCTAGTTTCCCCTCCCCAGCTGCTACTGAACCTCCCAGGACTACTCTCGGACCTTAGATCTGTGGCTCCAGTTCCTGTCACTGCCACCCCTCCCCAGAGACTGCACTGGCATGTTTACTTCAGCCCCCTCACCCAAACACAGCCCTACTAGGAAGGATGAGGACAGGTTCAGTCCTACCCATTC